ACCCTGCCCCACGCTGTGCAGGGGCCTGCCGGCACCCCAAACCCCTGCACCCTGCTCGCTCCCCGCTCTGTGCGTGCAGGGGTGCAGCGTGAGTGCACCTGTGGGTGGGCGGTAGGGTGCACCGGGGTGGGGGTCAGCACTCTGGGGGGGCACAGTGCGGCTCCCACGTCCCTCACCCTGTCATCACAGGGGACACGCAAGACAAGGGGACGGGGGACAGGCAGGACACGGGAGATGGTGCAGGCAGGTTGCAGGGGATGGCACAGACAAGACTCGGGGAGATGGGGACAGGCAGGATACATGGGACAGGGACAGGCAGTGGAACCACGGGCGTGCATGTGCAGGGGAAGTGTCACTGTGCAGCAGCCCCGTGTGTGACAGGACCACTGTGCATGCGGGCTGAGGAGCCCGTATGCACGATGGCTGTATGTCCGTGTAAATGTAGGGCCATGTGTGCGATGTCTGCTGAAGTGTGGTGGTGCTGAGGCCTCCTCCATCCCTCCCACCCCTCCACAGCCACACTTCCCCACGTGGCCCTGTCCCATCATCCCCACGTGCCACGTACAGTGGACCTGCAGCTTCTGCGTGGTTGACCTCTCCGAGTTCTGCAGGGACTCGTGGTCCACGGTGCAGGTCACCTCAGCTTCGTTGTCCTCCTTGGTGACGCGGAACTCCACCCGACTGCTCACGGTGAAGGTCTTTCCGTTGGGGTCCTCCACCACCTCGGTGCCCTCATCTGTGGGGACAGGGGACCATTAGAGCTGATGGACACAGTAGCCCAGCAAAGGCATGAAGCTGACGTGTGTTGAGCAGGGGACACCCTCTCCCTGTCCCTTTGCTGGCAGTAACACAGGATGCCAGCGTGGTCCAGTACCGGGCACATCTGCAACCCCTCGTACCGTGCCTGCCTCCATAGTGTTCCCCAGTCCCTTGGGGCAGAGCCCCACTGCTTGGACACCCACCCTTCAGCTCCTTGTTGCCCTTCTTCCACCGGAGCTGGGCCGCGGGCTTGCTGCCAGAGGACCGGCAGGTCAGCCGGGCTATCTTCTCCTCATCAATGGGCTGCTCATGGCCAAAGATTTGGGGTTTCTGTGGGATTCCTGGTAGAGGAAGAGGCGAGAAATACAACAGCCTATTACCTGTGTGTGTGCTGCCACCCAGAGACGGACACACACGCAGAGACGTGTCAAGAAACACAGCAAGGATGAGTTAACAGGGATACGGGAGTAGCAGAGATGAACGGCTGTATGGGCAGCACCTTGCAGCAGGAGATCGGGAGCAGAGGGGGTGCTGCCACGGGTGGCTTACCCAGCACGGTGACCAGGGCCTTCGCAGTCCGTACGGGCATGGTGAAGATGGAGCAGGTGTATTCCCCCTCGTCCGACAGCACCACATCACTGATGCTGATGGTCAGCTCGTTGGGTGTGGACCTCTCCAGCTGGATCCTGTTATCTCGCAGGGCTGGGGGAAAAGGGACAACAGGGTGAGCGACAGGCTCCGTACCGCCGCACCCCTCCGCTAGCTCATGTTTTGCCCGGTGCCATCACTGTAGGTGGGGAGCAGGAGGGAACATCACCCTCTGGGGCACCACTGGCCCTGGTCCGCTTTTCCTCTGCCCCACCGCCGCTCTGCTCCTGGAGCTGGCTCCTCTCCCCGAGGCAGCCCTCTCCCATCCCCAGTTCCTGCGCATTTACCTCGTTTCTCCCCAAAGTAGAGGGTCTGCTGGGCAGGGTTGGACCACTGCAGCGAGGAGTCATCGGGATCCTCCACCTGGCACTTGAGCACCACCGTACCACCAGCCACCACGGTCTCGTCCGACGTCGTGGGCTGGCTCTCTGGACACAGACAGGAGAGGTTAGCGGGGGCCCTGGGCATCGCCTCTCCCCAGGTGTGCGCAAGCATCGCTGAGCAACCAGGGGAAGGGAGGGAGGAACACAGCAGCATCCCCAAAACCCCTGGGACAAGCAGGGCTCCAGTACTGAGCTGAATACAGCTTGCTTGGGACAAACATTTTTTCCAGGTGACCCCAAGCCCTGGATGGCCATGCTACACAGACGGGGGTAGGGGGACTGGGTCACGCTGGCTCAGCTGCTCTGGGTGGCAGCGTGGAGGGGCACGGGGAAGAGGAGCAGGCATTGCCAGACGTCTGGCTGGATCCAGGGAGGCTGTCAGTGCGAGAGTATGGCAGCGTGCACGTGTGTATGTCTGGGAGCATCCGTACGGCCCCTTAAGCGTGGATGTGTGTGCACAAACAAGCGTGCCCATGGGTGTGCGTGCCTCTCCAGGGACAGAGTTTCTATTGCACGGGCAGTGGGCTTGGAGCAGAGGGTCCTGCATACCCTGGGGACAACAGGGACCTGCGCAGGGCATGTGTCAGCCCGGGTCTCACACTGCGATCCCATCCCCCAGCAGGGAACAGCCCCACTGCAGCTGCAGAAGCAAGGACCAGAGGGCAGGATCCGTCCTGCCACCCAACCTGCAGCACCCGCTGGGACAGCAGCTCCCGGGATGCTGCTGTCCCCAGGCGTAGCTCCATGCCAACCTGCACAGAGACATCAGTGTCAGGCCTGG